CACACACACACACACACACACACTCCAATTTGAAGTTCAAGAAATGCATTTAATTACTGCAGATGTTCCCAATATGCTTTTCTTTAAAATTGAGTCAATTCGTTTTTGATCTATTCTTTATTATGCCTCACGAGTATTGCAACACTGGAACAGGCAAAAACAAAATTATTCAACGTGATGCAATTTCGTGAACCGTATAAAAACAACTTTGTAGCTAAAAGTAACCGAAATTATATTAAGTCTATATAACATTACAAGTTACAAATAGTGAAATACTAGTCTCAACAATACTCACTAACTTAGTAAGTTATTACAATGTTTCATATACATTTTGTGCATAAGTGCTTTATTAACAACGTAGTGTTCGAGTTCACCATTGCTAGTTTTTCTGTAACAATAAAGCCTTAAAACCAAACGTTAAAGCTTCAACCTCTTAGGATTATTCAATTTAAGTTATTGAGTTATCGTATTCATTTACAGAATCGGTAAACGTTTCATTGTCCCAGTTACTGCGTTAGGCCTATCGTCAGATCACATCTTAAAATACAAGTTGCACAAATATACATAAAAACAAATATAAAGTTTATAACAACATCTTAAAAATAACAACAACATATATAATTCCTTGATTTCAGGTAGCTGAACTCTTAATCTTACCAACTTCATCAACATATATTGAAATTTAGATATAAAACAACGCAACTTTCCAATTCTACGTCAACACTAACCAACAACGTATAAGACGCGCTATTACGACACCTTTTATAGGCCATAATGAAACACGGGGTTTACATAAATGTATTCAAGTCCTATTCTGCGTCCTCTGGTGCAAATATTAGGAAGTTGACTCATAAAATGTGGTCATAAAATGCTTTGAAACAATTACCCTGTCTCTTTGTACCAAAGATATACCAAATACATCTTTTCCTAAAGACAAAATTCAATAATTGAACTTAAAAACGAAAAAGTTATATTGAAATGTGGATTACACAATATTTATTGGTACTTTACTTGTTTAATTCAATAATTAGAGTATAAAATTTGATCAATGGTTTCAGAAAGAATAAATTTATTATTTTCATTGGTATTTAATAATAAATTATTTGTTTGTTGGATTTCGCACAGAGCTACTCAAGGGGTATCTGCGCTAGCCGTCCGTAAATTTCAAGTGATAGTCTAAAGGGAAAGCAGGCAGTTAATACCACCAACCTTCATAGCTTGGGCTTTACTTGTCAGACTGAATAGTGGGATTTGACAATTATTCATATATCATGAACCACAATATTGATTCGTAATAGGGATCGCAAGGAATTGCACACCCCCTAATAGAACATTCGGGCAAAAAGCGCCTTAAATAGTAAAGATTCAGTTCAAATAACACTTTAAAACCTTTACTATTGACTGCTAAGACTGTAAACAAATAAAAACGCAAAAAAAGCACGCATGTTAGACTTATAAGAAAAAGAAAATTCGCTCAAAACGACCCGTTTGTAATTTTTCTTCTTATTATTATTTTCTTGCCAGCCTACAACAAAAACGGCTTGGTATATTTTATTCGTACAATAATTACTTTAAAGACACAAAAGTTCATTTAAAGCAATGTTTTAGACATATATGTTTTATTTGAAAATGCTGCTTTTCTAATGGTAAAATTTTATACTCGCTTAGTGGGGGTTGTGTCTTAGTCTAGGCATATACTTGCCCATTGCTATGCATTATATACAGCGAATTTAGTTACACGGAAACCATAAATGCTCGCTATATTCTCAAACAAATTTCCAGGACAATATCCAGCTCTAGCTTAACATTTTATATCTCGAACTAATGCGACCGAATAGTTAATAGCTACAGCAAATCACCAAGAACCGTATCAGCTAGCTATTAGCTAGGTTTATTATCATTATAATGTATAAAGTTAGCTGTCATATCAAGTAGTCCTTTGCCCATAGTCGACAATAAATAAGCCAGCAAGCAAGATAAATAAAAAAGTTGGGAAGCTAAAAACCTGTGTATAGGGATAATAAAAAAAGTAAGGAAACAATGCTGGAGATAATATAGACATTATTTACTCAAACTACAAATCCCTATTTTTGCTCTACCAAATGTAATTCTAGGTAACAGCATGGAGCCAAAATATGGGTTTGTAGTTTGAGTAAATAATATCTAAAGTATCTCCAGCCTTGTTTCCTAACTTTTTTTACGATCCCTATTTGCAGGTTTTTAAATTCCCAATTTATTATTTCTCCTGTACGTATAACGTTTCAACAGTTTAAAGTGCGTAGCGCAGTTGTTGTTATTTTTTGTTGTTGTTTGGGAGGTAATGTTATGCCAACCTCGGAATCTCGGCTCCAAAATCTGACATGCTAACCACTGATATCAGAAATCTACATTTGTTGAGCTAAAAGTTTAAATTAATGAAATTTTTGGCTTACACAATACAAAAGAATTAAAATACGATTAGTCGTTATATTAAAAATCAAACAATTTACAATAAACAACACTTCATTCATTTACCCATTTCATGCGTTGCTAAACTGATCTCTACTGAATCTATTTTACACACCAAACAATATTTCTGACAGAAGAGATATGTTATAATCAAATTTATTCATGCAGATGAAGCAAAATATTGTTATATGTGGTCAGTTAGGGCCTGCTAACTGGAAGTTCGAAGGACATCGAATTTCGGAGTGTCTGACTATCTCTCCAAACTGTGACTGAGTTTGTCATAAAGAAAGAGCTGAAACACGGAAGCGTTAACTTATTTTTGGTACATAGTGGGTCTAATAGTACAAAACCTTTTTCTCATTTAGTTAAGCTAAGCTCATTTGTATCTTATGAAGTAGAAGGCCTTAGAATGACAGCACGTCCCTGTTGTTCTGACTGTTACCATCTGAAATATTTTACAAAGAGTAAAAATTGATTTTATATGTTTTATTTATAATATGGGAATGAAGTTCTAACAGCATTTTATTATTATGATTTTATAGCCTTAGAATGTGATGCAACAGTCAGAAACAAGATGGTTATGTTTCACGTAATTTTGATGTACACTGCTATGTATAGATTAGAGACAGCTCAATCGTCACTATGTATTTCAAAATATGCTAAGTGCCTATTAGTGTAAATGTAATGACTGAAGTAGTCATGAATTTCACCCTTCCATAACCAGTTTAGAATATATCTTTTGACAGATATGTAAAGTAAATGTTTCTAAACTTCGTGCAGCTGTTCTGCATACAGCATGGCATTTTGTGAAACTGATGTCAAAAGGCTATAATCAAGTATTCATCTCTTTACTCGGGTAAAGTTACATACATCAATATCTAGATATTCATGTCACTTTGGTCTTGTGTCTGAACACTCTAGAGAGAAGTAAGCTCATATCAATGGATGTTTCAGAAACTTACATAAAGTTATATTAATTAGAGGTCTTGCATGGGAAGTTATCAGAACTATACCTTTCTGCAAACGTTGTCATATGGAACATCAAATATTTGATAAAGCTTCACATACTGTCAATAGCATAAATATCCATCGCCTTTGGCAAACGATACCGATCAGAAACTCTATAAATATTTAGTTTCTTGATGTATATTTCTTTATGCACATTGATGAGATGACTTACAGTGTCATATAACACATTAATCCAAGAAACATTTGTCATTTTTCACCTAAGACGAATGTAAGCACTTAATATCCAATATAAAGAAGTAAAATACAGACCGCAAAAATATTTTGACATCAGTGGAAGGCCTCTATAAATGTTGTTTGGAATGTGATGCATATAGCGTTGGATTCTGGTATACCGCATTTTTGAGGTTTTGTTAGCATTTTGGCAGTAAATAACTAATTTGCAGTTCCTTTGTCTGGTGCAGACATTCGAAAAAAAAGACTTCATTCAAACCCATCAGCCAACTGAAGTCACAAAAGAAAACTGTCAGCCAGCCAATAATAAAAACACTTAGATAATTTTTGTAAATATAATTTATTTTTATTGGTTCACTTCTTTGTATTTCTTTCATTTGCTGTCTGTGTTCAATACACTCTCTGCAGTACATTTCTTCAGTCTGCATTAGGTAGATAATTGAAAACCTTTCTGCTAGACACTAGACTAATTAAAAAATTAACATTTGGTTCCATGACCTAGGACATCAAATGTGATCCTTTTTCTATTTGATTCTTTGGTACTGAGATGCTTTAAAATTGTGATCATGGGATGACACTTTGTAAGACCAGGTAGAAGCAACTGGAATGAGGACTAGATCAGGGAAAGTAACAAGAACTAAGAGCAGCATTTTTTTAGACCTAGACTTTTACCAGCAATGTTGAAAGCTATATTAGAATTATTTATCAGTCCTAGGAACCATGAGATTGATGGGTGCTCTACTGGGTTTTTTCTTGGTGCCCTATATACAATCTCCTATGGGTACTTCCTATGCATTTGAGAGCAGTAGAGGATAGTCATTCAGGCACCCTAAGACACTGATTTTAGTCACCCATGGGCAGGGAGATGAGGAGGATAAAAAGCTTGACAAAGTTTGTAGCACTTCATTGCAACATATCACACATAGCAGACGTATCTTACTATGATCCAATGGAATTAAGAGTTAGTCAGGAGACTTTCTGGATGGCGAGGCATACTGATGATGTTCGAAAATCTTATTAAGTGAGCAAAAGCATGGTGAAATTGGATTACGAGTGTGATATCATACATCGCACCGTCACTATGGCAATGATGGTGCATGTTCTGAGTCATCCCAGTGTGATCATAGCCTGGGGTGCATCACCAGTCCTATAAAATAAGACGATCCTCCTAGAAGACCATGTCCAGTGGCCAAGAACAGCGTGGGATATAATGATAAAGTGTGGCATCGCACATTGAACGTTACAGTGCACCTAGTCACCCTGTGGAGAACTTAACCTAAGGATAAAGCATTTGAAAAGATGAACAGTATTAATACTTTGGGAAAAGATGATATTTTTACACTTCTTCAATAGCCTTGGATTTGACAGAGTGTGATGACAAAATTTGTTGCTTCTGAAATCAGTTTCAATGCCGATGAAAGTTACACCATTAATAGAATGACCAGGTTGGTTAATGTGTTTGGTAACAGGGGGGTCTTTTTCGGTGTTAACAGAAGATTTATGGTTGTTGAAACACTCTCTAAGAGTCGTTTGGGTCTGTCCTAAATACCTGGTGATTGCATTATTTACACTGTATAAGGTAAATGGTATTTTTTTGTTGTGCAAGTAATTTTTGCATTTTTTACACTGTATGTAGGACAAACCCAAATGACACATAAAGTTTGTTGCTTCGTCACAGTGAGGTGCATTCTCAAGTGCCGAGTCATCCCACTGAGAACTTATCACCGAATGTCATGTTCGTGAGGATGGTCATGTCTCTGGACGCCTAGCAGAAGAAGAAAGTATCATCTAAATGTATACCGACTTTCAACTGTGCAATTCTAGAGAACAAAATTACAATTTTCTGTCAATACCATCATATAATCATATAAGTACGATAAAACAGGTACACACATTAGTGTTTAACTCTTTCACACTTAGCTTGTTGCAGTACATCTCGAGGGCAAAATTTCACAATTGAATTAAAACATTATAGAAAATAAACTTATAGTCGTTTTTCACACATTGGAAAAACTTCAGAGTTGAAATTTAGCCAGTTAAAAGTTTTGTTTATTTAGTTTGTAAAATAAAATGTCTAAAAAACAAAATTTGATT